AGTTATTCAAATATCATGTTTTTCTGCAGTGATATTTGCCACGAGCTGCTAGGACACGTCCCTCTTTTTGCTGATCCCAGTTTTGCTCAGTTTTCYCAGGTAAGTTGGTGGTTTTGTTATTTACATAATAGAAACACAGCATTAATTCAGAGGATGTTCCAGGTTGAAGGGTGGTGCAGATTCACCTTTAAGCACACAGTTTAAGAGTGGCTGAGATGATTTATTTGTTGCTTGGACTCTGGACACAATTCATGCAGGTGAAATCATAAAGTCCAGCTCCAAATATGATCTCGTGTGAGCTGTTTTTTGACAGGCCCTGGGAAGCCATCACCTAAAAACCTTTCTGCAGATGTTGATCCTTCTGAATGAAGTCACATAGCTCATGGGTCAGATGGATTATTGTTTTGGTGTTCAAATGTTAGGGAAAGTGGAGATTTTGTTTTGTTTTCTGTTGAAGCGACACTGGAGGCTGAGTAAAGTGAGGAACTGTCCCAGCTGTAAGATGGGAGAAGGCTGGAGAGGAGCTCTCYTTTTGGTAGTGTTAATGTCTCTGAAAAGAAAGCCAAGTCTTGGTGAAGGCGTAAACTTTTGGCTTTCTTACCAGAAAATAAGGATAAAAAAGAAGAGAAAAAGGCATAAAGACAGAAAGACTGATAGACTGAGAGAGAGCAAGAAAAAGAAAAGGATAGAGAGAGAGAGAGAAAGAGAGAGAAATAAAGAAAGAAAGGTGAGAGAGAGGGAGAGAGAGAGAGAGAGAAAAGAAAGAAAGAGAGAAAGAAAGAAAGCATAAAAGAAAGAGGAAAGAAAATGAGAAAGAAAAAAGAGAGAGAAAGAAAAGAAAGAGAAAGCGAGAAAGCAAGAAAAGAAAGAAGGAGAGAAAGGAAAGAAAGAGAAAGAAAAAAGAAAGAGAAAGAAAGAAAGAAAGAAAGAAAGAAAGAAAGAAAGAAAGAAAGAAAGAAAGAAAGAAAGAAAGAAAGAAAGAAAGAGAAAGAAAGAAACAAGAGAAAGAAAGCAAGAAACCAAGAAAAGAAAGAGAGAAGGAGATAAAGAAAGAGAGAACGAGAGAAAGAGAGAAGAGAAGGGGAGAAAAGAGAGAAAGAGAGAGAAACAAAGAGAGGAGCGAAAGAAAGACAAGGTGAGAAAGAGAGGAGAGGGAGAGAAAGAAAGAGAAAGAAAGGAAAAATGAGAGGCATAGAAAAGAAGAATGGTGAAGGAAGGAAAGAAAAGGAAAATGGACTTGATGTGACATCTCAAAAGATAAAAGTCAGTCTGATGTRGTTAGTAAGGTCTCAGTATTGCCTTCAGGCTCTGCCTTTTCCCAGAACTGGGGTCTCCTTCCAGCCCTCCTGCACCTTGGCTCACTAGGATTTCACATGGTGAGAGCTGCTCCAATGACTTTGCCCTCTGATTTTGCGCTGTGCACTCCTCTCTAGAGCAGATCTAGACAGGAWCCTGATTATTATGTGTAGTCTTGTGTGTCTGTCTTTTGAACCCAACTATTGCGTGCCTCCTGGAAAAAACTCAGCTCCCAAGGTATGAATAAGCTCTTTCAAACCATGCCCTGTCATTCAGAAAAAAAAACCCCCAGCTCATTGAAGGCTCCAGGAACCCTCCTTTAATCAGCAGCCATCAAAACAAAGAGAAATATGTGAGGTGTGTGATTGATTCGCCTCCTTTTGTCCCTGTCACTCTCTCAGATGTTCGTTGTAGACTCGATCAAAAGCCTGTCAAAGCAAGAGGGAAATTTTATTTGACCTCAATGGGCTTTGTAGCAGGCACAAAGGATCATGCCTTGTAAATGGCATTTGGACAAGGCCCTTTGTTCATTTTTTTGAGAGATCTCTGGTTTAAAATTGATCTTGCACGATAGGAACATGTCCTGTAAACATTTGTGTGTGGTAGTAAGCAATGGTAACATTTAAAATGTGAGCAATTACATAAGACGGGGCAGGAAGAATGTTTGCAATAAACAGCTTGAAGAATAATGGTTTATTGTTACAGGAAATTGGACTGGCATCGCTGGGAGCTCCAGATGATTTCATCGAGAAACTCGCCACGGTAATTTCAYAAATGAGGGCTCAGTTTTCCAAAGCGCCCCGTGTTGTCTTAATTCTGCTGCCACTGAAGTCACTGATAGAACTCCCATCGAGCTGAATGGGATCAGAGTGAAGACCACGGCTGGAAAACCCCACCCTGAAACAGTTGCATGAAAGGAAAACAGCTTTGGCACCCCTTATTCAAAGTGACAGCTGTGATTAAACACAGAAGTCCCAACAAGATTTCCTCCAGCACAAACATATTGGGCAAGAAAAGATGACATGTTACTACATCCCCACAGGAAATTTCAAGAGGCAGCTTCTGTAGCTGTTTTACCTTCCAGCATCTCTTCTGCACCACTTTGCCAGGCAGATAAAATCCTCTGTAGTCACCYCAGCTCACCTGGATGCTGCTCTGAGGCTCCTGAGAGCCAGAGTTGCAAATGTCCCATAAAAACAAGGGTATTCCTCTGAGATTTGTGTCCCCATTGCCATCTGAGCAAGGAATTCCTCCAGCTTTGGTGCTTCTGATGGATGGGGTGGTTCTTCTCGGCCAGGGCAGGGATCCCTCTGGAAGGACAGATTCAGGAGACAAATTAGGCCAAATTCCTTCCCTATTGCCTGTTCACCCTGTTGCTGCTACAGTCAGATGCCCTGTGTGAAGCAGAAGACAAACTTGTCTAAACTCAGGTCCAAACTTCCACTGAGTTGGCCAAGCCAAAGTAAAACTATATTTCTATAATTTCATAGCCCCTGCTGACAAAGATAAGCAATGTAAAACACAACTTTGTTTGTCAAGGAATGGAACTGGTTTCTCAGGCACACAGAATGCAGTGCTGTGCTTCTCCCAGGAGAAGGATTTTGGACTGAAGGGACATTTATACACTTGAATTTGATGCATGACGACATTTCATAAAGAAATGAAAATTACAAATGTTCAAATAAATGGTGTGCACATACTGCTTTTGATCAAGGAATCACAAGTTTCTGTCCCGTTCTCTTGCCAGGTTTATTGGTTTACTGTGGAGTTTGGACTGTGTAAGGAAGGAGATTCCCTCAAGGCTTATGGCGCAGGGCTGCTGTCTTCATTTGGGGAGCTGCAGGTGGGTACGGAAAAACATTTCTAATATGTTTATAATTACTCGAATCCCTTTTCTGGATGTCTTCAGACCTTTGGTTTTGCTTCATATTTTTTTTGCAGAGAAGTGTGGTATTTCATTTTAGAGCTCTGATAAATGTGTGGGTGTATGGATACACACACCTGCTTCTTTCCCAGAAAAACATTTACATTTTTCATGTACATAAACATTAACATTTACATTTACAAGGATAATTACATTATCCTTGTGACCACAGGAGCAGCTCTTCCCTGTCCAAAATGGGATGGATCTCTCTTCCACATTGCATTCAAACACTCTAAAATAAATTTCTGACCTTTTTATTCACAGTATTGTTTATCAAGTAAGCCTGAGATCCAGCCCCTTGTCCTGGAGAAGACTTCTGTGCAGAAGTACCCTGTCACTGAGTTCCAGCCCATCTACTACGTTGCTGAAAGCTTTAAAGATGCAAAAGAAAAGCTGAGGTAACCCAGTCATTCCAGAGAAGCACCCATTCCTGACTACTGCAAATACAGAGRATCTCATTGCCATAACAACTCTTGGGTTGACAATGATGCTCTGAGACACATTAGGAAAGATTGTACAATACTTAAAGATAAACATTTTATATCCTTGGAATCTTGGGCAAAAAAGAGCAATAATAGGTCTATACCTTACGTATGAAGCCAAGAATTTGTGTTTAGTGTAACTGAGAGTTTCGTCTGTCTAACCAAAACACAACAAAAAATTATCAGTTCMATTGCAATGATTCCAACATTTAGGGTAAAATCTGGCTAATTAATGCAAAACAAGTTCCTTTACCATTACTAGAATTAACATTTCTTGTAAAAAGAGTCTTCTTAGTATCCATTCCTTTTCCTCTGAAGTTATGTCCARGTTCAGTTCTGGTCTCGGAACAGGAATGTCTCAGCCTATGTTTGGGGAATAGAATTGAATGTACAATCAACTGTGTCATATCTTTCTGAGGAGTTATTCTGAGATTGGCCTAAAAGTTCTCAKTTTAAGGCATTAATCTTCTGGCTGGGATCTCACCTTCAGCTGAGATTTAGGAAAGCCATCTTCTAATGTGGTCTCTCTTAAGAAAAGCTGTTAAATGCACCAATGTAACATTTCTTCACTGTCACACCTTGTGGCCTGTTCTCACTGAATGCTGTTTGAGAGAATGTCCTTTGCTGACAATAATTAGGTTTAGATTGAAAAGCTTTGTGGGGATGGCATCCAGCATATTCCACTGTTCTGGGCGTGTGGGATTTGCCATGCCGAGTCCCAGCCGGTGGAGTGGGGCTCCAGAATCAACTCCTGCGTGCTTCCCTTCCTCCTTCAGCAATAACTTCAGTAATCCAAAGCAGATATGCARGCCAGTTCCCTGCTGGGGTCTACAAGGACCCTGGAACAATAGCTCTGACTGTCTCATCCCATTCAGAGCCCTTCTTTCCACAATTCTGTGGTTATGCAAATTAATATTTTCCCAAGATACTGAAAACTTAATGCTTCTGACATGGCATTAACTATTTTGCAGTAGAGAATGCTGCTTCACTCCATTAACTACTTTCTAACTCTGTAATTACCTGGGAGCTACTACAAACCATGCCAGAAGTTAAATTTGCTTGTCCCCTGGCATACCAGGGTGGCATAGATGCCTGACTTTTTTTTTTTTTTTTTTTTTTTTTTTTNTTTTTTTTTTTCCAGAAACTCATTCTTGCATTAGAATTCCTGTCTTTTGCACTACTGAAAGGAAAATGAGATTTTCAAGCTTGGCAGTTCCCAGTAGCTAGGTAGCTAACCTACAGCAGGAGCAGTGTTGCCATGCCAAGAGCTTAATTAGTCCTGCTCAGAACAAAACAGAGGTGGTAGGGACAAATGCAGTTTCGGGTGTGTTGCAGAATGTTGTAGGTCTCAGRTCACCCTGCAGGAATTTCAGTTCTTTCCTCCCACGAGGAAGATCTTATTCTCCATCTTCTTATCCCCCCCAATCAACAAATAACTCAGTCACTGRGAAAAGACTGAGTTAGTGAAAAACAACATTTTAACTGTGTATTTATGGGTTTTTTTTTTTTCCTCAGGAAATTTGCTCAGACCATCCCTCGTCCTTTCTCTGTTCGGTAYAACCCCTACACCCAAAGGATTGAAGTCCTGGACAATGCAAAGCAGCTGAAGAACTTAGCTGACACGATCAACAGTAAGGAATTACAGATTTGTTACCTTGAATTCCTCAAATCTTGGGTCAGAAATAGATACCACAAAGCAGTGGTGTCCATCTGGGTGTGTTTAATGCTCTGAGCCTATCCAAGATAAGGCAGCGCACATGAGAAATTTTCTTGTGAAAAAATTACTTCGTAATTCTAGCCAAGCTTCAACAAGCATTYCCACCTGATTGTAGCTTGTTAAATCTGAAATACTCAGTTTTGGGGGAGGTGCTGAGAAAGGTCAGRTGGCCTTGAGGTGGATCCTGATGTGTGGGTCCAGCTGCTTTCAGTAAGAAAAAGGAGAAGTGTGGCTTTAATTACATTTCCAGCTTCACATTGGCCAGCCTGCTCAGAACCAGCTCCTCTGATCCTGTGATCCAGCCTTGCATGGCTGGTGAAGGCAAAGGCCTGACTCCAGTAAAACCCCAATAAAAGTGYCCAATTCAGCCCTTCTCTGCTCACCTTATTCTTTGAGAGAATGGACACAAAAGGTAAAAAATGTACAAGAGTGTTAGCAATGGACTGGCTCTAGGATTAACTGCTGTGATTATTCCCTTTGCAGGTGAGATTGGGATCCTTTGCAATGCCCTCCAGAAGCTAAAATGAAGATTTGCTGTGTTTTTTTAGTGACTGGAAGCTATCATGTGCAAGTGCCAATCTTAGTCCAGCCTTAGCCTATTATCTTCCAGTGTACTGCATGAGTGCTTATGTTGTATATCTTAATTATTATAGCTTAGCAGAGAAACAGCCATCTGCAGGTGACCCTCCCCTCTTTTGGCCTTCAGACACTAATCCATTATTTCTCACTAATGAATAAAAATGACCTGATTTCTGTGAATCTGGGGAAGCCTGTGGGTGTTTCATGCCAAAGGTTAGCAGAAGGAGGAGATCTTGGCCGTGCAGAGCTGCACTGGTGGGGTCTGGGACCAGGATGGGATGTCAGCGATGAGCAGAGTGATCCACCYTGCCTTCTCTGACAGCCACACTCCCCTCAGTCCCTCCCAAGGTTCCTGTGGAGTCTGGAACTCCACACCTTTCAGGGTAAACAGGAGACTTTTCAGGGTATAGGGGGGATTGCTCCCAACAGACATGCTCAGCTGTGGGAGGCTGAGGTGTGAAGGATGCATTTTTTTTTTGTGTCCTTCCCTGAGAGTGTCTTATTCAACACTGCTATGAGATGTCTCCTAGTTTAACAGCCTAGAAGGTGGATTCCAGCACCTTGGGAATGAAGAGGGAGTGGTTGTTTCAATGCAGCTGGGGACATCAAAGCCTTCCAGCTTCTAACCCACTGAATCTGTGGCTGGAGTCCCCATCAAAGTCATGGGGTAACTGGGACCTGTCCCAGTTACATTCAAACCCAAACATGTTCCTTTTCAATACACATCCTAATTAATGACCCCTTTTTGAATCTCCATCACCCATCTGAGCTTTAATCTCCCTTTTTTTTGGTGAAAGTGGTTTTATTTTTCCTGGAGCGAATCTCAGCTGAGTCAGCAAATGGAACCAAAGGTGGTTCCGGCTCAAGTCAATGGCTGAGCATGGAGAGAGAAGAGTTTTGCTGCTCAGGAAGCTGTTTCTGTATTTATCTTATRAATTTCACAGAAATCAGCTAAATGCCCTGTTGGACTGGCCCACACTACACAATGCCCCCTTGTAGCTCCCTGGTTGAAGGAGGGAGATSAGCACTTGAACATGGGGACAGAATGGAGCAAAGCAAAGCTGAACAGYATTTTCAGCCTGAAACAATTTTGCATCGTGATGTTAACACCACTCAGAGGTCAAATTTCTCTTAGAAGATTCAAAGATGGAGAGGGATTTGAAAGTCCACGAGTCTCATACCTGCTACATTACTAGTTTTGTATTTCTAGTATGAAAATCAATACTGCTTTAATATAAGCATCATCCTTTAGAAGATAGGAAGTRCATCTGTTTTCATTTTATTTATGATGGGTAATAACATTAATCTTGGGATACCAGCTGGAACCCTTTTCAAAAGACATATACTTGTGCAAAATGGTATCATTTTGATGCTTTGAAGTAACCTTTTTTATCTCTGTATTTTCTTTATTCCCTTTTTTTCCCCTCACAATGTTTCTCTAGATCTTTAAATTGTGTGGTTTCAGTGTGAAARTCGCCCATATTTTTCTCTCTTGATGTAATAGGACCCATGAGGTAACTGTGTGCTGCAAAGAAGCAATTTCACCCCAAGGGTAAAGTCTTTCAAACTGATCCTCAGACAGCCTTTCAAGCTCCTCTGCAGCAGTAGTTCTGTAACGACATAGAGAACACAGGGTTCACGATTTTCCTTCATGTGCAAGTGGAATAGTTAAGAGAATATTGTTGCCACGTGTCTGGTTCTGTGTCCCTTAATGCAGCAAGACAGAGATGAGGAAAAGTTAAATGTTCAGCATTCTAAAAGCAGAGGAAATGTATGGAAAGCAGATTTTCTTGCAGAACAAATTAGCTTGTACATAACTACTTTAAATACTACAAATAAATTACATTTAAAATACTACTCCTTAATGGTTGACTTCTTATTTCCATGCTTTAAGAAAATCACAAATGTGTAGAAAAATGCCTTTTGCATTATCTGACCMGTGACCACATGGTGACCACACAAATCAACCAGAATTAAACACCCAGGTAGGAGGGTTTGCCCATCTGAGGTGTACCCCAGCACAAAAAATGCTCTCTTGCATTGGCTGGCTCCATCATCCAGCCAAGATTATGAGGCTGATATCAACAAAAAATCCTTCATTACCCAGAAATGCACAACGAAGCCCAGCTTGCTTTACATTTGCATACTCCATAAATGTCTGAGTGCTACTGATGCCTGAATCAGGCTCCCTGGAACAGAGGCTGGACAAAATTCCGAGAATTAAAAGCAGTTCTGTTCATTGCAGGGACTTCAGGTGCATTCAGGGCAGTCCCACACCCACAATGGACAATGGCTCACGGGTTTTTCACCCTTTCTCACTTTTGTCCATTTGCACATCGGGATTTGCTGAATCCTCCAATTGCAGCTCAGCCAATGCAGTCATTGACTCCAAGTTGGCTCCCCCAATTCTCTGTTGTTTCCATCTCTTGGGGCCTGGCACAGGGAGGTGTCCTTGAGTTTGGGGCTGCAGAGGAATTGTTTTGTGTAAAATGGGAGAAGAGTAGCTGAGCACCCAGGGGCTGCATGAGTGAGGGTGAGCCTTGGGGTGGGGGAACTGCACCTTTTTCAGGAATGTCCCCTTGGGGAAGGGTCCCCTGTGCTCCAGTCCCTGCTGAGCCCCCAAACTGCAGCACCCAGCCCAAGACCTCTGCTCCTGCACTCCTGGAGCTTCCAAAATGGGCTGAAAAACACTCTGTGGGATGTCTTGGCTGTCACAGGGATGGTGAGTCTGGCCTGGCTCTGCAGGGAAATCTTGATTCCTCGAGGATCAGGACTTTAGACACCCTTTTAATTATTTTCTGTACCCTTTATGTATTCCTTATACCCTTGGCCTACGAGATTGTAATTCTTGTAGACTGATATTCTAMYTWRKTTTKGGGKT